GTGACTAAAGTGAAAAATTACCCTAGGTGGCAAGAGAACTCTATTCTGTTATTGCAGAATAGATTTTATTTCAGGGTGTTACTGATAAGTATTTATACTCCACAGCCTCACAATAAAGAAGCAGGAATGAACTTACTGGAATGAGAATAGATGAAATGCAGTAGGGAAAGGTGAGCTTTTATGGAGAGATGGAGAGGATCAACCATGTAAACACTGCAATTAGTCTTTCATGTACGAATCTGTTTTCTCCTCAGAGTTTTATCTCCAAATTGTTCACCTTTACCATAAAATTTTCTTGTTCTATTTGAAAATGGGGTATCAAAAATAATGCCTTTTTGTTTTTCTTACTAGGGAAACAAGATCTAACCTGGGCTTCTTTCTGTTTAAGGCACAATGACAGTGAACTTGGCATAAGCCTCATCTAAAGACCACAACAACAGGCAGAATTACCTCTGTCACGTCTTTGGTATTACTGAAGTGTTTAAGGCCAAAATTACCACTCAGGGCTATGATTTTTTCTCATTGTTTTGAGAGAATTTTCTTAATGTTTTGATTTGGGAAAACATTAACGTCCTTACTATAATCATGAGGGTTTATTCTGAATTTGATTCAATGCATTTCAGAACTCATTGGTTAGGAAGAAATATATTGACCCTGATGAATATCAGCTTCACAAAACCTTCAACTTTTGCATCTGGTCCTGGTTAGATCCACAGTTTGATTTTCAAACAAGCAAACAAAATATCCTAGATGTTCTTAAAACTGATCTGAGCTTTACACAGAAAAATCCATGATCATTTTTAGGAACTCCCAATTTGTAAGGAGTACAGATAAATTTTATCTGGCATGATTTAACTTCAAATATGATCTCTTGATTCTAGATACATTGGAATGAAAAAATCTAAACACAACCACTTCTGTAGCCATGCCAGCACAAACACATCCTTCATTATTGCTTGTCAGTTGGAGCTTAAAATTAGAAAATCTTAAGCCAATAAATGAAAGCCCAGAATCTTTGCACATTTATGCCAAATCTGTTCTGTTTGTGCTACTATAAGATTTAAAAGGATAGATAGAAGTATTTCTGCACTGTGTTTGAGCTGACCCAGAGGTAACAAACTGGCAGCTCATGCCCTTTTAAGAGACCTCAAAAGTAAAGATTGTTTTAGTCTCTTAGGTGTCTTTTGAAAGGGTTGGGAACTGTGAGTTAGGATGTGTGTTGCACCCCAGCATAAACCGAGGATGGGTTATTGAGTTCATCACTAGACTTTCCCCTTCCTAAAGCAGCCTCTATCCAGGTCAGCTAAAAAGGAAAATGAGGCAGGAATTTAATTCAATACATAACCTGAGCCTATTGTAGCAGCTCTGAGGGTTAGGAAACCTAAGGCACAGGACATGCAGACCTTTCTCTCTGTAGCACAAAACCTCTGAACAGTGCCGTGCTCAGCAGTGCAGATAAAACAGTGGGCCTAGAAAGAAATACAAAGGACTATAGGTAGATAAAACCCCCTCTATAAAAGATACTCTATGCTTCTTTTTCAAATCAATATACACATTTACTACTTTTTTTTTTTATGGGCTAAATAAGAAAAAATTTAATTTCCCCATCATGTGAAAATTAGACTTAAAATAAATGAATCTGTGAATTTAGGAAAGAGCTTACATCAGTTTGTTATTTTACTGCTTTCTTAGATTCTCCAGGCTTCCTTTCAACAGTGTTTCTGCTTTGATGTCTTGCTCTCTACCCAGATTGCCAGAAGGCTTTCTGTTGCAAATGCAGGTGTTTTCAACTGTTAGATACAGTTGTGTTGTATTATTCATCACCTCAATATAAAAATGTATTAGAGGGACACTTATTTTACACAGAGGACAAAAGAGGGATAATTGGAAAGATGGCAGACTGTATATAGAGGAAGATGTTGCTTAGTGAGACATGTTTGGCAGTGGAGGAGACAGGTTTGCATCTGCCTCACTGCTGTTTCATGTATCAGTCCTTGAACCTTTAAAGCACTGTTTTTCAAACAGACTGCCTTGCCCATCAGGCTGGCATCTGAAACTAATTAAACATGGCTTTTGATAAGTACAGCTCTATTCACAGAGAGCACCTAGGAATTATAATGGTATGTCAGGGTTATTTGTTACATGCTGGTGCTTTTCCCTGTTTTTTGTTGTTTTAGTGCTTGGTAAAAACCTGTGTGTTCAAGACCAAGTCTTCCCTGAGCTGCTGGGATTTACTAGAGATACCAATGAATGGATCTGCAGGTTGAGGGCAATCTCGAGGCTTGTTACACAGTAAAATGAACACCTCAGTCCTGCTCCTGACAAGGATTTCTCTGTAACACTTGCCCTGTAATTCAGAGATAGCTCTGTGTGCCACACAGACAAAGCAGAGGGACATCTAAAGAAGGCTGGTGAGTTGTGACCCTGCTCAGAGATGTGCAGTAACCCTACTCTTAATGCCGCCAGCTGCAGAGAATTGGTATTCACCTTTCACTCCATTCAGCTGCTTCAGAAATGGAGGCAGAGCATTGCTTGTGAGAAAGAGCCAAAGCTGGACAGTGAAACCATATAAAACATATTCACCAGACGTGGTAAAGGGATGAAGGAGAATCAGGGAGGGGGAGGATGAGGAAAAGGGTTGGGGGCATAAGTAAGCCATTTAAAAGCAGATAAAATGTCAGAAAATTGTTTTGCCCTTCTTCCCATAAAATATTCCTTATCTTTCTTCTCCTCTATCAGCTTTGCCTGGATGGACATTATGCTCAGTGCATACCCATCTTTCAGGGCACCCTGTCAGTCTCCCATTTTGAGCACGTGGTAACTCTGTATGCTTTGTATCTGTGAACCTAAACATCATCTTGGGCTGTTAAATGGGCAGTAAGACACTTTCATATTTTGTATCACTCCAAAGTTCAGAGGCATGCATTTGCTCATCTACCAACCTTTACACTTACGTCTTTTTGCAAATAGATATTCTAATCATCAGTCTTGAAAACTTCTGTCTCTGAACACAAGAAGCCCTTCTTTTGTCTTTCATCTCCTTTGAAGAAGCCTCAGTGTTTAAAAAGCATGCAGCTTAGCACCAGGAGATGGGAATCTCTCCTCAGCCGCCTCCTCATGCTAATAGCATTGCCAGGTGGTGGTGAAGCCGCTGTTTCACAGCTCCAGGTTGTGCCTGACTGGAATGGAGGCAGGTCTGTCCAATCCAGTGCCTGACACTGGTCAAGAAAGCAGCACAATGTTTTATTTGTATGGATAGGAGAGAATTCTTCCTTAAAAGCAGATCTTGTTTGGACTTCTGGAACAGGTTTAAATTCTGGTTTCTGGATTTAAAATAGCCCCTGACAGCTCATGAGAGTGAGGAACGTGATAATGTTTGTGTTGCCTGCGAAGCATGCCATCATCTGTTGACTCTGCTGGCTTCCGGGCCCTGACCATGATCTTTGGTAGTGAATCCAACCATAGAGGAACGTTGAGTGAAAAAGTATCTCTTTCAATCTGTTTCTAATTTTCTAAGTTATAATAGTCTCCTTGCTTTTTATGCCATAAACCCAAAATGAGGGTTCTTTTGCTGTTCTACTCTACCATTTCTAGGCACATACCTCTAAACTCCCCATCTCTGTTTTCTTAGATGAAGCTTTTTTTTTTTTTTTTTTCCTCTCTGCTCAGATGAGCATCTTTCCAAAGCCTTAATTATTCATCTTTCCTTTTAATTGTGCAGTCCTTGTGATGGGATATCCTGTACCATAACCTTCTTCCAGATGATTTCACACATCAGGCAGAAGACCAGTGTTGCAATTTGGGTATGGTTTAGCAGGTCAGAGCCTCACATCTTTGTCACTAAGGTGATCCTCACTATCTAAGGCTTTCTGAGGTACAGTGAGTGCCACATTTAACTCTTTGGTTGTTTATTTCCTTGTTTTGGTAGAAAAGGTGACTTCAGTTAACTTGCAAATTTTCTTTAAATATCTCTCCCCATATGCAGTACAAACATTGCCTACAACAAAACTTGTGAGATACTAGAGGCCAGACTGGCATTGTTCAAAGCAAATAGAGACAGTATTTTTGATTAATCCTTTTCCTCCACTAATTTTGTTGCTCACATCATGTTTCTTCCATGAAGTCGGTAACTTTCTTGTAATCTTATAATCTGACGTAGGATTGACACGGTTTAAAAGGGCTTTACTTCTGCTGTGGCTGTAGAGCTGGAGCAGAGCTGGTCTTGTGCTGAAAGGATGGGTGGCCTGTACCACACCCGTGTAGTAAAAGGTGGGTTCCTCAGGGTGCCTTGACTGTGCTCTGCTCCCAGCCAGCCTCAGCTTCCCACCATGGTTTTCCCGGGAGAGCTGCCGGCGCTCGCGGCCGTGCCAGGGCCAGCAGAGGCGGCTGCGACCCCCAGATCCCAAAAGCTCTCATCACCGCAAGGCATCAGTCCGCTGTTGGCAAACCGAAACCATGGATTCTCCCTTAGGGGCCGCGGTAACAGCCCCCAGGCCGTGGTTCCTCGACCATTTTGGGCTGAGTTGATGCAATTCATACATTTTGGCGGTGGGTTGCGTTGAGAGGAACCTGCGTGCAGGCTGCGCTCTCCTCTCACCTCTCTACACCCTGGTTAGCCGAGGTCTGCCCGGCCAGCTCCCGACTCATGGCTCGGTCTCTGCCGATGCCAGGGCGCGCTGTGCCGTGCCGTGCCAGCAGAGCCCGTGCCCGTTCCCCGCGGCCGCGCCGCCCGCATATGCCCGGCGGCGGCGCGGCAGAGGGGCAGGGGCGGGCCCGGCATGGAGGGCGGCTCGGCTCGGCTCGGCTCGGCTCGGCTCGGCTCGGCTCGGCTCGGCTCGGCTCGGCTCGGCTCGGCTCGGCTTGGCTCGGCTCGGCTCGGCGGGACCCGCCTGGCCCGGGCTATGCCTGAGCGCGGCGGCGGCAGCGGGGGGGCGGGCGGGTAGCGGCAGCGGGGACGCGGCGCCGCTGCCCTGCCTTTCCCTGCCCGCCGCTGGCCCTTCCCCCGCCCCTCCCCGCTCCGGTGCGCGACTCAGCCGCCGCTCCGGGCAGGGAGGAAGGGCTGGGAGCCGCCTCCCGCTGCCCCCGGCCGCCCCCTCCCCATGCAGCCCGGCCCGCCGCTGGGAGCCCTCCCCGGGGGGATGTTTCTGCGGCCGCTGCCGGGATAACCGGCGCGCCGCCCGCCCCCGCCCCGGACGGAGGATGCTGCCCGCGCCGTGGCGGGCTCCGACTCGGGCAGCAGCGGCCGCGTCCGCCTCCTCGGCTCCGGGCAGCGTCGCCGGGGAGAGATGAGTTCGCGGCACCAGGCGGACTGGATCCCTTACAGGTAGGGGGAGACCCCGCGGGAGGCGGCGGGTGGGGCGGAGGCACAGGGGATGCCCCTGGGCAGGAGCCGCTGCCCCTCGAGGGGTCCTCGCCGGAGCCCGCAGCTCGGTCGCGGGGCCGGGGCGGCCGGACCCTCCCCGGGGCGAGGCGGGGCGGCGGTGGGTGCCGCCGGGGGGAGCGGATCGCTGGCCGGCCCGGGCCGGGGCGCCCGGTCCCGCCTCCCAACTTCGGGTCGGTGCCGCTCCGCGAAGTTCGGGGGCTGCTCTCGGGGCGAGCCGTCCGCCCCGCGGGGAGCGGGCAGAGCGCGGAGCCGTCCTGCCCTGCGGCCCCGGCGGGCGGGCGGAGCGCTGCGCCGTCGGTGGCGGCGGCCGCGCCTCGGGCGCCGGCCCCGCGCTGCCCCCGCCGGCGGCGGCTCCGGGAGCGCGGCCGCGGGCGGGCGATGCGCGGGGCGGCCGCGGCCGGCGGGGCCGCCATGGCGGGGAGCGGGATCGCCATGGCAGCGCCCGGCCCGCGGCTGCCATTGGCTCCGCCGTTGCCATAAGCTACGGGAGCCGCGGCGCGGCGGCGGCCCGGGAGCCCCGTGCGTCAGCGGAGCCGGCCCCGGGTGCGCGGAGCCCCCTGTCCCTGCAGCCCTGCCGCCGTGCCCTACTCCCGGCTGTGCAGCGGGAGCATCCGCGCCCGCAACGAGGGAATAGTTGGTGTCAGACTTGCCGGGCCGAGGGGAAACCGAGCCAAATATTTCGCTGCGAGCGGGATGGGCTGTTCTAGTAATAGACCCCTTTCCGAATCTGCTGTTCTGAGTACATTAACATTATGAGTTTGTTTGTTTTTATTTTTAGTTTTCGTTAAAGTGTCTTTTTCAAGCTGAAGTTTTACACGAGGGGTTTGACAAGGTGCTCTGGAAACGACAGAAAGCGTGTTTCTTTCATTTGTTTGGTTGTAAGTGAAACAAGGTAGATACAGTAACATAGGAAACGAGGACACAGTCTTACGGTGGATTAGGTTGGACACGAGGAAAAAGTTCTTCACAAAAAGGATGACTGGGTATTGGAATGAGCTGCCCGGCCTGGGGGTGGTGGAGTCACGGTCCCTGGAGGTGTTTAAGGAACAACTGGATGTGGCACTCAGTGCCATGGTCTCGTTAACACGATAGTGTTCAGTCATAGGTTGGACTCGATCTCAGAGGTCTATTCCAACCTAGTGGATTATGTGATAAACCTTTTATTTCTGTTGTCGGTAGAGAATCGTGGAATTAAAAATATGTGCAGAGTGCATTTTAAAAGAAGGATAGCTGTTTAAGCAGGTCAGTTGTAGCCTGCCACATTCTCTTTGACAGTGTTTGTAGCAGACGTATGCCACAACAAATGCAACATGAACACAAATACATCACTCCTTAATACAGAGAAAAAAAGCCCTAAGATAATTGCACAAGTGGAAATCTCCTATTTTGATATGTGCACATCATAGTTCAAATCAGTAGAAGAATTAGAAAGAAAGAAGCATGATTACAATGAACCTAAGAATATTACCACTCTCTCAGCAATAGCACTTTCAGCTCATGCATTTTGAAAAGATGTAAGGAATTGGCAATAAGGCTTCAAAAATGACTAGTGGATGCATTCTGATGCAATCTGAAGCCTTGTAATGAGGACAGAAATACCAGAGGAACAGCTGTTCATGGCTCATCCCAGCAGCAGTGGAAGAGTTTCTCTGTTCTCTCACTGTACACAATGCTCTGCAGAGGCCAATGCCAAAACTTTGCTGAGGGGTTTTATAGCGGTGGCCTCAAAGAAAGAAATAAAACATTTCCATTTCTGCTAAGTGCAGCACAAACAAAGGAAGACAAAGCAGCAAATCTCAGAGAAACACAGATTTGATGATACTCCTATCTTTTCTAATATAATCTTATTCTTGAATGTTAATGATGTGTTTATAGTCAGAAACTGCTGAGGATTGCTCGAAACCAAAAGGCAACCAAACCACAGTTCTGCTCTGAAGTATCTTTATTTAGGTTTCTAACAGTGTTCTCTCGAGAAGCTGACTTATTTTTCAATCTTCAGAGGTAATTTTTGAGTTAGAGGTATATCATTGCAAATCTTATTGGACTTGTGTGTGTAAAGCATCTTCCAAGATCCCCTAAACATGCTTGCCCAGGAAGCAGTGGTTTCTGAACGCATGTGTGACTTAGTTTACACATGAAAGCACTTTATGTGTAAATTAGGTCAAAGTACCATTTCGAGGGAGTGAAATATACAAGGAGAAGGAGAGACCTGATGTGCACCTCTTGGAACAGATGATCTTCTCTCTCAGAGCAAAATACCCCATGCTTATCTGCCCTCTTGCTTCACATTCTTGTTTACTGTGCTGAGTTCAGTGGTTGCTGACTCTCAGAACACAGAGGGAGGTTCAGCACCTTCTTTATGGTCCGGGTGGCATGTGGCAGCCAAGAGTGTCGCTGCTGCTTGTGTGGGGGACAGAGCATAGGCTGCTGGGCATGCTGAAGTCTGGAAAGATGTATCCTTCTGGCACTGGAACATATGTGCAGCTATATATCTGAATTAACTCAAGCAGAGAAGGCTTGTATTTCCACTAGTAAAATGTCACATTTTTCCTTTCAAGTGAAGTGAGCCAGAGGGAGTCAGTTCCATGTGTGTCATGTACAATTCATTAAGCAATCCACCTGCGTGTCCACAACTCACAAACTTCTACTTCCCCTTTTAAGATGCTGAGAACATTTTGTGTGAGTTAACAAAAAATACTAGGCAATTTTTTCAGTGTGAGTGCTAGCTTGTGCTGAGGTCAATAAAAGGTTCATATTATTTGTGAGTTTGTGATTTCAGTGTTTTGCCCTTATGTCTTTCCATCGTCTCTTAAGTATTCTGTTTTTGAAACGTTAATAGTCATAGGATGAGATTCCTTTTCACTAGCATTATGAAAAATAATTGGGAAACTGTTTTTTAAAAGTAAATATATTGCATTTATTTTCGTGAAACACATATCATAGGTAGAAATTTAAGCATATGATTAAGCACTTACATGAAGCTGCACACGAGGTACAATGAGCTAGGAATTCTTTAAATTGTACCTGCTTTTAACAATATCTCTGCTCTTTATTACAAAGAGTCAAAATAGTTTAGATGCAATTAAAAAAAAAATCAGTTGCAGTCTGTGTAGCTGCCCCCAGAAGTTAAGAGTAAGATGTAGCTTCTTGAGGAATTATGTTCTCAAGCACAGTAGTGTTTTCCTTTAATAAGCTTCAACAGTTTCCAGTAGAAAATGCAATGCAGAAGTGTCTGGGAATCATTAAATTCACAGGAGTTCAGGTTTTTTGTTCAAATGTAGGTTTTTGTTTCGTATCTTTTTCTTGAACTTATTTTTAATTTATAGCGTTTCTTAAATGTAACATACTCATTTTTATCTTATGCTGGATTGTCTTGAATAAGTGAAGACATTCCTCATTCCATAAAAACTGCAGTCAAATAAAACTGCTGCTAGGTAAGATGAAAGTATCAGTAAGCTCAGTTACAGTAAGGCCTCTGTCTCTATTATTATTATTTGTTCTTATGTTTTCAGCTGCTTCTTTAACAATAAATCTTAATCCTGTAGCTTTAAAAGCAGCATTTACACAACCAGCTAACCTGTTCCATGAGAAATATCGCAACTCCACCAGCTGAAAAACCCAATCCACACAGAAATCAATTTAATGCAAGTCCCTAGAGTTCTCTGTAAAGTATGTGTGATGCTGCTGAGCCTTGGTTTGTGTGGATAAACTTGCTATGGCCAGAGGGGACCCCATGTACTGTGCCCTGGGGGTGCCTGGCACTTGGTACTGAGGGCACTGAAGGCACTGAAGAGAGCAGATCACACAGCCTGCGTTTGCCGTGGCATAATGTGTCTTGATATGTACATGATGGTGGTAATCATGCACATTATTTTTGTTTGTGACAGGTTTTATTATGCTCAATTTTTGTAGCTTTCATGAATTTGCTCTGAAGTTTTAGGGCTGTGCTTAGATATTGCAGCTATAAACAGTCACAAGTTATTTACTTGCAAAGGGAAGGATTACAGTTGGAAGAAAATTGTGGAGCACAGCTGGGTTGTAAATTCATGAATCATCGCAATTAGGGAGATAAGAATATTTCTGAAAGTGCGATGTGTAAACAAGTCCTGGAACAAAAATGGCCTTGAAGACCAAGGGTATCCCACGCTCATTTCTGTGCATATTGTTGAGATAGTGGGATATTATAAACCCTTAAGTTTTGGCATTGTGAAGGCAGCAGTGCAGGTGGAGGGCTCACCTTGCTGCAAGGTGCAGTTTGTGAGTGAGAGCATTGCAATGCAGGCAGGCTCGCTCCCAGCCTCCTGCCGTGGGGAATGGCATAGATAATTTACAAGAGCTGCTTTTTTTAAAGAAAAGAGTTCAAATACTATGTCTGTCCTCTTGTCTGAAACAGGCTGTCTTGTCTCAGGCTATTCAGTGTATAAAATTACCCCGCTCATGTGCTTTTGAAACATTTTAAGTTAGAGATCTTCCTTAATGGAATTCTGTGCTCCTGCACGGAGTGTTTCTGCTGTGGTGGTTTGCCCAGCATCAGTGTGAGGGAGATGTCAGAGGCAATTGCTACCCCGAAACTGGTAGCCTAAATCAACCAGGCAGAAAAGAGAGGTGAGGAAAATAAGTATCCCAAACCGTGGAAGTTGCAGGGTGTTAGCTTAAATGGAAATGGGACAAGGCTCACGGGAGAAGAACTGCAGAGCTGGGTGTGAAACCTCGTTGTCTTGTGCTTTGCAGTGTGCCAGAGGTGGATTTAAGGAAGGGGCTTTTCCACCCCTTGCACGGGCCTTATGACAGTAAGTGATGCACCAGTTGTCCCAGAGCATGGCCAGCCCCCACCACCTTTATGGTATCAGCAGCCAGATTGAGATGAAAAATGATTTTTTCACAGGCCAGTGGGTTTCTGGTAGCAACAATCATTTGCAGGTTCCTGGCAGTGACAATCA